TATATTTGTAGCTAACACACAGGGAATCAGACACAGAGCATATCTTCAAGCGATTTCAGACTAACCAAAAGAGAAGGCATGCACACAAATAGCGACAGTAAAAAAAAAAGTCAGGTCGCAAGCGGCACAAAGTGGTTCCAACATGTAGAAACCCACTCCTCCGGGCACTGCATGTGACTGCACCCCTGGGGTAGATAGATGATCGTGTCAATTTGAGGATTCAGAGTGTAGGGGTGGAGTCTAGCTTGTCAATCAGATCATAGCCAATGAGACCTCTGTGTGGGCAGGGCCTTCTCCTGAGAATTCTGGGAAATCTGGGACTTCCTCCTTGGAGGCAGGAGATACTTCTCTCTCTGCTGACACCCTGGGAGACATAGCAGCTGACAAGGCACGTGGACCCACCCTGATGCAGAGACCCCTGCCAGCGTTGAGATGTTTCCAATGCAGAGACCCCTGCCAGGGCTGAAATATTTCCAATGCCACTGGATCAAAAAGACTTGCTACTCACTGGCCTGTAGTCTTCGACATTCAAGTCTGAAGAGGACTTTACAGACTGGTATCAGACGTAGGGGCTAATATCGGACTTGATCTGGACTGGGCTGGGATATTTTCTTAATGTTCAATTGCTCTTGTATATAAATCTCTTTCTTATACAGATGTGTGTGTCCATGCATTTGTTTCTCTAGTCTACCCAAACTAACACAATACCTTTATTCGAGGCCCCTCCCATTTGCAGTGGATCATTAATGGCAACTCGTAAGAACTTCTGTCATCCAAGTTTAACTTACGATTAATAATAACAGAAGCAAATGTGTACAAAGTTAACGGGTAGGCAGTCTTAAAAGTTTTACTTAAATGCATGATCTTATGTATTCCTCATCATACCCCATAAGGCAGTCCTGTTGATGTTCCTGCTTTACAAATTAGTAAAGTAGGGCTACTCTGGAACCTGGTGACATATATGCCCCAGGTGAGACAGCGTTGCATTCCACTCAAGTCTACCTGACTACAGAGCCACCCCTTAACCACCAGACTCTATTCTCTTGGTCCACTCAGATAAAAGATGACAATCTTAACAGCAAACATAAAGACTCAAATATATAAGCTCTCAGCACCCCAGGTTAGATGATTCCAAACCAAATCAAAGCCACTGGCATCTAGTCGATTGTGACTCCTAATGACCCCATACAATTCCCCAAACCGTAAATCTTTACAGAAACAGTCTCATCTGTCTCCCTTGGAGCAGCTAAAGGATTTGACCTTGTCGTTAGCAGGCCAACTCCTAATCCCATACCCCTAAGACTCCTTTGCTAGCTGTTTAGAGGTAGCATAATATGCTAAGGCCAACCTTCGCAGCTTTTGAAAATCCAAAACCTCCATTGAGGTTGCCCTAGAATCTTGAGAAAAAAGAAGAGATTTTTAAAGGTAGCAAGTTTATCCAAAAATAATAATGAGTTTATTAATAAGGGAGCTCTGCAAATGTTATTGCTTACATACCTCAAATGCAATATAGCCTCAAGGTCACACATAGGTTATTAAAAAGATTAATCATTTTTAAAAAATCATTTTATTGGGGGCTCGTACAACTCTTATCACAATCCATACATACATCCATTGTATGTCAAGCACATTTGCTATCATCATTCTCAAAACATTTGCTTTCTACTTAAGCCCTTGGTATCAGCTCCTCATTTTTCC